CTGTGCATTGCTTCTGTTTTTTTGTTGTAAAATATGAATCCAGAACGAAGTTGGCATAAGCCTCTTCATCTTGATGCAGGACACTGACCATTCTCTAATCAACAACTTGATTGCAGCCTCTCGTTCGTACAATCCAAACGCCTCGTACAAAGACTGTGACAATACACAAGGAATGATTAAAGGGTGGACGAGATGTTTTGATTAAGCCAAGTCTTGGTTTAATCACAGGTTAGACCTCATTCTCAAGACTTGAAATTAGACAGTGCTAATTCAAAGTGGCCTGTGGAAAGCAAAACATGAAGAGGGAACGCGCCTATAACGAACGAGTCGTCCTACTGTAATTTATGTGCGCATGTAGGCACAAGTTTCGACTTGATCTCGGCATTACTTTTCACAGTACATGCATTGCAAATATCATCCGCAGTGGAGTGAATCACTCCTGTGCACTGCCTGAAGATGTATCTCATTATAACACACCGTGGCTAATATTCAGCATCAACAATGAATCAGCTCAAGTGTGCTGTATTTAAAAAGAACAAAGGCCAACGAAATGAGTTCATATGAGCATTCGGCACAGATGATCAAAACTGTGAATCATGACGGCATATGTGATGAATCAACAACTCCATAAACTCCTGGAGTCCCAGGCTCGATTATTAGGGCCAGACACACAATTCCCATGTGTTAGAAGTGGGCTACTTTTGAACCGCTACGTCTTAATTAATTTCCTGTGAGGGAAACGCCTTCGACAACCTCGTGGACTCAAGGGAGATTCATACTAATAGCTATTTGATGGAGCTCATGCTCAAGTGGTGTGTTTGCCAGCTCTCTTACGGGAAGTGCTAACCTAATCAACAGAAGTTGAATGCTCGAGACGCTCACGCCATTGAAACACAGCCCGAGTAAATGGTAAATAAGACCGTTTTCGCTCTAAGGAGGGCATTCAATCATGTGGAGAGAATGAAAGATCATCTCTGTGGGGTGCATCTCCAATACAGTCCACCAGGCGTGGACCGCAACCAACTGTGCCACCACATTTGTAAAAACCGTCGCCTCTAGCATTGCCTTTTTGCCAAAAGTGAAGACATCTGAACACTATGCTGGTTCACTGAATTGGATTAGAGTGTTTTTTCCGTCTTCCGAGAGGCCTATGCTAATGTGATTTGAACTACCTGAGGTTTGTGCAAAAATAAAGTTATAAAAAAAGTTAACAATGGAAAACTAAAAATAATTAATTAAATAATTTTGCCACAAACCGATATGTAATATTAGATAATTTTCCTAAATAAATAAATGATAAAGAAAATATTTTTGTCTCACTTGTTTGATTGGGTTCTCTTTGTCTACTTCCAGGACTTGTGTTTTGGTCATATTTACGCTGAAATATAGAAAATTCTAAAGGGTTCGCAAACTTTCAAGCAGCAC